TTCTTTATTTTTTCTACGTATGTTGTATCACTTGGTGACCAAGTAAAAATGGCAACCTTTTTCAATTTTGCTTGTAAAGGCTTACGTGTTGCTGCTAAATTGGCTATGTAGCCTTCTACATATTTTAAGATTCCAAGAAATCTTTGTAGTTGCTTTTTATTTCCTATTTCTGAGGGAAATTCAGAAATTTTTGTCATGATATGCGGTTGCATAGTTAGACTTCCATTTTCAATTTCAAGTCCTAAGAAATTAATCTTAGTTTGAGCAATTTTCGTTTTTTTTTTCTTAGAGAGAATTATTCCCTCTTTAAGACATTGTTCTAGTACTTGTATAACATGCTTATAATGTTCTTGTTCGGTTTTGCTGAAGACAATTATATCATCAACATATACCGTGCAAATTTTACTAAATTCTTTGCTCGGGTCTTTTAAACATAGAGCATTGTCAATTCTCATTTGGAATAATCCAGGAGCTTGTTTTAACCCGAAAGGAACAACATTCCATTCAAACTGTCCATTTGGGCAACTGAATGCTGTTAACTTTCTATTTTCTTCTTTCAGAGGACTTGTCAGAATCCACTCTTACAGTCGAACATACTAAACCATTTCATATTTTTAATTAAATGAAATAATTCTTCTTTCTTAGGTAAAAAATACCCATCCATTTCTGTATTATCATTTAATTTTTTATAGTTAATAATCATACATCTTTTTTGTCTTCGTTTTTCAGCTTCATTTTATACTAGAAAAGCTGGACTACTATGTGGAGATTTACTAGGCCGAATTAAATTCATTTTTATTAATTCTTCAATCTGTATGTTAAACTCTTCTCTATCTCGAGGAGTATAGCACATTGGTTTAACTCTTATAACCTTTAAGAGGTCAATTAATTTTATTTCAGCATGTAAAGCTGGGTTTTTTATGCTTTTATTAAGCATTTTATCTAACGAATTTTCACTCGTTATTTTATTTAATGCTCTTTGAAAGTCTTCTAAAGACAACATATAAAGCATTTGATGTTTAAATATTAAGGTATCCATTATTCTTTTACATTGCATGGTTCGAATAAAAACTCTTTCTGGATTTTTAGTTTCATTTGTTATTGCAATGTTTTTCTTTTTTATTTCAGTAACCTCACCACGTTTTCGTAGTTTGGAGTTATTTTTCATAAATTCTTTAGATGCAAAGCTATAAGCTTTTTGCACTATTGTTATATAAACTGGTACTTCATTTAAATGTAACAGTATATAACTTAGTTCCTGGACAAATGGTCTGTATAATTTTAAGAAGTTATTACCTATTAAAAGGTCTACTCCCGTATCTTGTTGGTATATAGTAGGAACTATAAATTTTTCTCCTACTATTAAAAATGTGACATTATAAGCCACTTTTTCTAAAGTAATTACTTGTTTATTTGCAACTCGTGCAGTTATTTTTTGTTTAGCATTTTCCCATTTTTCAATGGGTAATACAAAAGGGTGTGCAGCACAAATGCTTGCACTTGTATCTATATATCCATGAAGATGATATAGTTTATACCTAGTGAATTTAAAACCCACCTTGATATAGGTACTATTAGGGTTAGTTACATTTAACAATTGTTCCATTCTTCAGAACTATCATCAGTGCAACTTTCCCATTCAGAGTTTGGTTTGGAATAGAATTGTTTATATTCTATTTCAAATTTTAATTCACATTCTGAATCATTAGACTCATTTTCAGATTCAATTGGTTCAAAGTTGAATTTTTGCATTGCATAAAGCATTTTAACTTTATCTTTACTTTCTTTTCTTTTAGGACATTCATTTGCATGATGACGTTCTTCTTGACATAACCAACATTTACAGTTAGTTTTTCCCTTTGGGCAATATTTTGTTTTTCTTTCAATTCTTCTTCTATATCTGGGTGTGTTCATTTTATAATTCTCTTTTTTGTATTTCCTATATTTAGAAATGTACCTTTTATACTTTTTAAACTTCTGGTATTTTAATTTCCTAGAATGCCTCACTTTTTTAGTTCTACATCCCCATTTATTAGGTATTTCTAATAATTGAGGATCACAACATGGTTTGTTTTGATAGTATACAAGAGTCCCTCTTAATTGAGTATCTTTACATCTATCTTCTATGGTTTCTTTAAGAAGATTTACTCTTTCTGCAAAACTTCTGTAATATGATCAGCTTTATTAGACCATTTTTTGTTCATTTCAAAAGCCTACAATGGTTGAGTGGAAGGGATAGCTGTGATTGATATTGCGGTGGCTGAGTGGAAGGAATTCTGCTCTCTTTCTTAATTTTTATATTCTTTTTTTTTTTATTTTAATTTTTGGGTCTTTTGTTTGTATAGTTTGCTGTTGTTCTGCTTCTTCCTTTTGTGGTGTTGTTGCTGTTTGTTGTTTGTTGTGGTGGTGGGCTTTTGAGTGCTAGTTGTTTTTAGGGGTTTAGTGATTTTGGGGACTGCTAGGCATGGTTGCAGTGGTGGTCCTTTTTTGAAGTGCTTTCTGATTAGGTGCAGCAAGCCCGAAGTTGCTCTAGTATATATTGGCCCCTAAGCTTCGCCTTAGCCAATATATCATAGGGCATCTTCGTTTCTTTTGTGTTGTTTAGGGCACCTCCTTTGTGTGTTCCTCCATTCATCCCATGTGGGAGTTTTGTAAGGCTTAATAGCATGTGTCCTGATGTACATTTATTTTGGAGTTATAGAATCTATCGTTTCG